CAATCATGCTGGCCTGGGACTGAAGCTGTTCGGTATGGCCACGGCCGTTCAGATACCCATTGTCTTCTTGCACATAGGCCTGGAACCCAAAAAGTAACTAAAACCAACAATTGTGAACTTTAAAGGATCTTTCTGTCAATAATTTTAAGTGTCTTTCGCTGCAGTCTGGTTTGCAGAAGAGCCATGGCCACTGTTCCAAATGGCAGAAGGGCCCTAAAAGGTTCTGACCTCCTCCGGTAACAAACGTGAAGGGCGGTTCCGTAATTACTTGCATTATTCTGAATTACTCTACAACTTTTTAACCAGGTCTCAATCACGCTGGCCTGGGAGCGAAGCTGCTCGGTATTACCACGGCTGCTCGCATACCAACTGCCTTCTTGCAAGTAGGCCTGGAATCCAAAGCTTAGCCAAAACAAACAAATCTCAACATGCGAAGCGTGCGTATCCTAACAACCTCGACGACAAAGTTCTGTCATCAGTTGGTGCGCCTCCTCTCTTTCAGCACTGCTCGGTCGCGGCTTTCTTGGCAGTACATCAGGTTGAAGTGGGTGAGTTTCCTGCAAGGCCAAGCCAGACAGAACATCTCATACTGAGGGCTCCAAGTGGACGTCAAATTGGAATCAACGGCTTTGAAACACATTTTTCCATGTATATATACATATATGGTCGCATGTAGGCGAAAGCGTTTTTTCTCGATTTTCGATATGGTTATATAATGTTATATACAGTAGTGCATGGGGCCTTTACAAGACGTGTACATGGGCGCACTCGCTCCCCTGCCACTTCTCTTCAGTGGTATTCGCGCGCTACCCTCCAGCCCAAGCCCCTTCAGCTTGTCATCTTCTCTTCCACATAGCTCAAGAAAGTCGGGTTTCTGTTCCAAAAGGTTCCAGGCCTCCAACTCCAGATAGAGATAGGCCTTCCTAAATCAAGCTGCTGACATCAAAAACAAAAAGCATTCTCTTTCAAAGGGAAAATCCTGCGAGGATGGCAGTCAAGCACCTGATCACCCGGTCGCTCACCTCCGTGGCTCCTCACCTTTTTGATCACCTTGAACTCCCAATTACCAATTCTCCAGATGGACATCTTTCCGAAAACGCTCAAAAGCAGGACCTGGCAAAAGTTTCGTGAGAGCATCTGCCTGAAGACTATAGTTCAACCTCTTCATTCTCCACCGGCTCAGCCAAGCAGTTCGCCCGGACGCGGAGGTGTCTTGTGCGCCAACCCCTTGGCCCTTGGCCAATATAAGAGCAGCGCGGTTGTCGCTATCAAGTTCAAACTAAACCATAGGTAAAACGAAACAAAGATTGAACTGCTCGACCACCACGAAGACCCCCAACCAAGGAGACAAGCCCCACATAGCCCCGCCTTGACAGCCGACAAAAAATGAAGCCAGCCCTGGATGTTTCGACTCCAATTGGCTCGGACAGCCACCATACATAATGAGGAGACTGGTCAGTGACGGGACCTCCCTTTTCAGACCTTGCCTTTTTCGTCTTTTCGTCAGATCATCAGGGCGAGTTCACCTTCCCATAGACCAAACCCAAGTCCATGGTAGAGCTGACCTTCCAAGTTGAAGTGCCCAAACTGGGTTCTTGCCAGCGTGTAGTTACCACCGAGAGACCAGGAGACCACTGCACTGGCCCCACGAGCAGTCATGTCGTTTCCTCCAACAGCTCCACTGCGCCAGCACAGGCTTTCCCCAAGCAGACACCAGCTTGAGGTTTGCCATTTTCTTCAAAACCATCAGCTTGTTTTGAACCTCTTCTTTCGTGTCTCTCTTGATGATCCTTTTGAACTTGTCCTTCAACGCCAGATCCATGACTTTGCTGTTCACCAGGACGAACCCGACCAAGATGTCAGGAACAAAGGCGCACGAACATGCCTTGGTTCCTGCTCATGAGCTGCTTCATCTCTTTCGCTGGACGTTGAAGACTCTGGGCACGAAGCTGCAGTGTTAGTTGTCCACCTGGAATGACAGGCTGCGAAAAAGCCTGTTCAACATTCTCCAACACGCCCATCAAGTTCCTGCGGACTCCACGACCATTCCGCTTAAAAGGCATTGTCTGTGGTTGCCCTTCCCGTTGCACAGGAGCCCCTATGTGCTGGGAAGCATCCATCCACATCCTCCCCAGCGCCTGTTGTCCTTCTCCACAGTGAATAGGCCCGTACTTGCCTCCCATCACAACTCAGTGTCCCATCGGTGCTTGAAGTTGTCTTTGGCGTCCACCTTGCGTGAACACCCTTCTCTCATAGCCCCTCTCGCGTTGAAGTCTGGTGTTCTCCTCTATCAGCAACCTCACCGTGGATGCCACATCTCGATCTCCTTGACCTTCTCGAAGTGAACCTGGTGTCAAGATGAGGTCAAGCCACCCACATTCCATCCTGGAAGGACCCTGGCAACGGCAGTGAAGCTGGTCTCAAAGCCCTGAGCATCGCTTCCTCCTTCGCCTTCTCGGACCAAAAAGAATGTATATACTTCAGGACTTCCACCATGTAGCACCAGTTCCTGTCCTTCACGTTGGTCTTCAGATGGAGGGGTCACTTCAACTGGGATATTGGCTTCACACAATGCCACGCAAACCAGCAACCAACTTATGCTGGGTGGACTTTCTAATCCACACGCGTAGACGAAAGCGCCTTGTCTCGATTTTCGCAAGGGCTACATAGTGCATAGGATCTTTACAAGACATGTACATGGGCGCGCGCGATTGTTTGTATGTATATCTTATGAATATATATATATATGTATCATTCTGCGCTGCCTGGTTCAAGGAAGAGCCATTGTTCCAAGCGAGCCCAGCGTCCTGGAAAGTAGACTTGCGTTGGGGAAGTCAAGTTTCCACTGGGTGTGATCAAAATACCAAAAGTTAGGAAAAATTGCACCAGCATAGACCCAGATAGCTGGGCAGAGTCCCACGACCTGTTGACATGCGACTGGCTGGAACAAGAATGTACGCAGCCTGCACAGCCTGCATACGGCGCCTCCACAGCGCGCACAACCAGCTGACACCAGCGCCGGTGCGCTCTGCCAGCTGACAACGCGCGCTTAGCCAGCTCACAGGGCAACACCCAGGACCACAACACCGGCACCAGCACCGACACCCTTCCGAAAGCGCGCGCAGCCAGCTCATTCTGATTTGCAGTAAGAACCGCATAGCTATCCCTATTTGGGGAATAACAACGTATGATCTTGCGCGTATAAGATTGCGCGCACAAAAGTATGCGCGCAAACAGCAAAGCCCGTAAGCGTCAGTGGCCCAAGGCCAAGCAGTATCCAGCGCCACTATTGACTTTGTAGCATGCTTGAAGCAACGATCTGTAGAACGATAAGGCCATATGATCTTGCGCGTATAAGTTTATGCGCACAAAAGTATGCGTGCAACCGGCAAGCCCGTGGGCTTCACTCGCCCAAGGCCAAGCAGTATCCAGCGCGACTATTGTGTGTGTAGCATGCTGAAACACGCTGAAACAATGGTCGGTTGAGAGCCTGACGTTGCGACGCGCAAAAGAATCCGCACAAACAGTACAGCCCTTGACACAGCTGTTGCACCCAGCACCGGTACCCAGCACCCAGCACCAGCACCCGGCACCCTGTCCCCAGCACGCGCACGGCCCGGCACCCAGGAGCGGCGCCCAGTCTCCACCACGCGCGCTGCTCACGGCACCCAGCTGCCTCCACCACGCGCACTGCCAGCGCCCAGCACCGGCGCCCTGTCTCCACCACGCACGCAGCCAGCTCACAGCACCCAGCACCAGCACCACAGCCCGTACCAGCACCCGGCACCCTGTCTCCACCACGTCCACAGCCAACTCACAGCACCAGCACCGGCGCCCGACACCCAGCACCGGCACCCGGCGCCAGCAACCTGCCTCCACCACGTGCACAGCCAGCTCACAGCAACAGCACCAGCACCGGCACCCAGCACCAGCAACCTTTCTCGAAAAAGCGCGCGCAGGCAACTCATTGTTATTTGAAGTAAGAACCCCATAGCCTCGCTATCTGTAAAAAAAACGTAGAAAATTCAAAAGCATCCAAAATAGTAAAGCATGGCATCCAAAAAAGTGAAAAAGATGCCAAAAAAAGACCGCCCAAATCGAAGCAAACAGAAACAAGAGAACCTGGCGGGTTTTCCATGAATATAAAGAATAGATAAGAATAGGATAGAATATGATAGAATAGGTGTCTATAATATGAACATCAACAGTTGTTTTTTAATACAATCAAAAACGAGCGTTTAACACATGAAGCCTGAGGTGCTCAAAAGTCATTGGATCCTGGGTCGCTAAAAAGTAGTATTTGTTGTGTTGTTGTATTTCAATAGAGGGTCTGAACAAACATTTGAAGATACGTACTTGTTGCCTATTTATGCAATGATTGGACCAAGTTCTAATGATTGTGATTGTGGTAGAGGCCTTTACAATCATTCTCCGTCCAGCTGTTTGCAATCATTTTGTACAGTAAATACTTGGAATCGGGTACTTGTTCACTTAGTCATTTTATACCACTAGGATTGCTGACACGCATTCCATAGAGGCGAAGAGGTGCAAGCGTGACACGTGTCTGTAGAATGGAAACAAGGTGAGCCCGCAGACCCAAAAGCAAAAAGAAGCGCACAACCCAGGAAAAATAAACAAACACAAATTAGCAGGCCAAAACGAAGCATCAGCCCCCTCCAGGCTTCGTGGCAACTATGATATTTCAAGCATCGCGGTTCTGGTGCAACACAGCTCCACTCACCTCCCAACGGGCTTCCGCGAAGCATGGAGCAGCACTACCCCCACCCATGCTTCGTTCTACTTGCGCACTGACCCGGAGCAGCCTGCAATGATGCTGGTGGTGCAACCATGTGCTCGACGCAACAATCCTGCCGTTTCAGCCACGACTTGACCGTCTGTCGCGTGCATTGCGCACTTTTTGGACACCCAAGACCATCGTATAAGCCCCGCAGCTCCACTCACCTCCCAACATGCTTCCGCGAAGCATGGAGCAGCACTACCCCCACCCATACTTCGTTCTACTTGTGCACTGACCCGGAGCAGCCTGCAATGATGCTTGTGGCGCAACCATGTCCTCGTAACTACCATATCAGCCGCGCAAGCGTCCACACCCATGCACTCCCCACACCCAAGCCACGCCGTCTCACTCCCCTCCATCTTCCCTCCCCAGCCCCGTCCATCTTCATGCGCCCCCCGTCTCGCTCCCCTCCGTCTTCCCTCCCCAGCCCCGACCCCACGCGCCTCCCGTCCCATCCACGCGCCTTCCGTCGCGCTCCCCTCCACCCACGCACCTCCATCTTCCATCCCCAGCCCCGTCGCCTCCCGTCTCGCTCCCCTCCATCTTCCCTCCCCAGCCCCTCTGGCGTACTGCTCCGTCCGACTCTGCGCCGCACGGTCTCCGACGGATCCCCAGTTTGGGCCACGTGCGGCGTTCGGTGCGTGGCAGTTCCGTCTTTCGTCGGGTTGGCTTTTGGATGTATCATATACCTGGAACCTGAGTGACCCCTGTTTTGGAGGATCAACTATCTCAAATATGGCCTTTTCCTGTCAAAAAAGGTGTCAAACGGATTCTAGGTGTATATATATATATATTTTTTAAATATATATCAACTGGTTGTTTTCAATCTGCAGCTAGTCTCCAATAACATTGCAACGTGGCTTCTGACAACCGTTCCAGGAAGCCTGGAGCAGTATCGGCCCCCTCCAAGGTTCGTTCCATTTCCCACGTTGCGCTTGTGGCACATAACGCTCCTCCCGTGTCGGCCATGCCTTGACTGTCTGGCGCATGTACTGTGCACATTTTGGACACCCAACCCCATCGTATCAGCCCCGCAGCACAGCTCCACTCACCACCCAACACACGTCCGCGAAGCATGGACCAGCACTACCCCCCCCACCCATGCTTCGTTCTACTTGCGCACTGACCCGGAGCGGCCTACGTCCCCACACGTGCGCCTCCCGTCTCGCTCCCTGCCATCTTCCCTTCGCTCCCCTCCACCAGCCCCATCCCCACCCATGCGCCTCCCGTCTCGCTCCCCTCCATCTTCCCTCCCCAGCCCCATCCCCACCCATGCGCCTCCCGTC